AGAAATATTTATAGATTATTTTGTATTAATTATAATTGTTAAATTATATTTTTTAAAATACCGTACAAGAATTACATATATTTATTGAATTATATATTTTTTAAATATAGTTATTTACAATAAATTTTTAATATAATAATCTACATAAAAATTTCTAAATTTCTAAATTTATTTTATTGTATATTATCATTAAAATAAAGCATAGTTAAATAAAGAGATTTTATTTATACTAAAGTATTTTAATAATAAATAAAATCTATATCTAAAATTTAAAAAAGAATTATTTTTAACACTCAATCAGGTGTATTGAGTAATCTTAAAAAATGTAAGGTTCGAGGAGCAAATTTTTTTCTTTCTAAACTATATGGATTAATTTACATTTAACTAAACATAGATTAAATTTTTAGAATAATGTTTTCAGTGTTCAGTCGCTTATTAATCATAAATTTAGCCAAAATTGTTACTATTATTTTTTTTATTCATGCTTGTTACTATAGTGATTAGACACTAATAAAGCACATAATATTGCCAATATTTAAAAGTAGAGTTTGGGGGCTTCGGCCCCCAAAAAAATTTTAAACCCCCCCCCCCCATAGATAAATTCTGGCTACGCCACTGTTAGTAGATGAGTGTGATAAATAAATGTAATTAAATATATATATATATATATATGAGATAGGAATATATATTAACAAATATAAATTAATATTAACAATAATATTTTTGAAAAATATAATCCGGCATCTGCATTTTTTGGCTTTGGGGGGAGGGGGGGGGAGGAATTTGTTCCCCTGCCCCCCCCCCCCGCTGCATACGCCAATGTAAATAATGTATATCTTTTTATGAAATATTCCGTTATTTTAAATATTAAAGAGTTCATATATGTTTCGCAATAAAATCTTTTATATTTCGTTTAAAAAGGCAAAATATAATAAGTGTTTGTATTGCTTTTCTTTTCAATATTATTTCTTAAATTGATTTATTTTTAAAAATTGAAAATATCCCAGATGTAAAAAGTATCATCGGGTCGGGAATCAGGACCTTAATATAGTAAAAGTGGTCTCCTCAATATAATTAACATTGCATAAGTACTAGAAAAAATTATTAAAACTATATAATAAATATACCAATTAATAATAGTTAAAAAATCTTACTTTTATAGACGTATAAATGTAGGGCCGCTAATATTAAAAGAATTTGTAGAATTTTTATTTTTTTTAAATTTATAAGTATATAATACATCAATATATTATATTAACAAAAAAATTTCAATTTGAAAAACATATATTTAATGGAAATTTTAATAAAAGTTTTAGTATAATATATTTTCAATTGAATTTTTTTATTTTTATATATAAAATTATTAAATTCTGCGAATTGCTTAGTAAGCATTTTATTAAAAATTATGCAAAAACATAAATTGTTTACTTTAATTTTTTCCCAATATTTTTTTAAAAACTCTATTTAATATTTTATTTCTTTTCATTTTATTACTACTATCCTGTCCAATCCACATCCATTCTTGATATCCAGTCTTATTAAAAGATAGGTGTTTCATAAAGAGTCCATAGGCGCGTTTTAATCAAAAATGGCGTATCCAACCCGTAGCCATGAATTTTCTACAAAAAGTGGGGTGGGGGGGGGGGGTGGATAAATTTTTTGGAACTATTTTTATTTGAACAAAAGTAATGGAATTTATTTATATTTTAAAAAATTTGGAACACAAATTAAAAATGATAGGGCCAATACAAATTATGAATAATATAGTTTGTTTTTTTAAGAGGATAATATTTTATTTATTTTAAAAAAAAAAATTTTCACAAATTTTTCATTTACAAATTATAATTAAAAATATATATTAAAAAACAAATAATATATTAAAAATGAATTAAAAAATATATATGTATAAAAGAGAAATGAGATAAAAAAAATAAAAAATTTTTATATAAATCGGTGTTTAAATCACGACAAAATATAGCTATAATTCAAATAATAATTGTAAATTAAAACAAATCTTCATCAAATGTTATGCTCCATTATAGTGTTGTTAAACGGCCCGATTTAATTGAAAAGGGGCTCGATTAAGATTTTAACCAAAATAATATTATGTAAAACTGTAGATTTTGCTCATAGATGCCAGAAAGATTTGAACTTCTATTTACTAAATCTTGTAACTTACATAATATTACTCTTTTTAAAAATTGGCCAAAATCGGGTCGTTTAACACTACTTTATTTGGTAAGTGTATAGAATATTATATCTCGAATTTGATTTTTAGAATTCTCAAAATAATTATATGAATTAGACTTTCTTATATTTTAAATACCAAATAATTTAAATTTTATCTTGTGAAGATTAAAAATGTAAAATATTATATTATCATTTCAAACTTTGACAACATCGAAGTTCATGTTAATTTAACGAAATAGTCTATGAAAGTGTTTTGATGAGACAGTGCAAAGTTTTGTTTAGCTTATAATCCCATTTCTGAGCGCCAAAAAGCTTATTGAGTAATCATAGACATATCGTCGACTGAGATTACGTTATTTCGAATTTCTATCCGAAATGACTTTTATATATCATCACCTGAGGATTATAATATTCTATCTCTACATTTTGCAACTTTTCAGGACGTTTTTAAAAAATATTCTTCCTATTTTTAAAATGGTAAGAGCTATAAATTTGTTTTTTTCATTTTAAAGATCACACAAAAATAATATATGCAAATATAGTTTACCTGAAAATTGCAATATAATTTTTTAGATGTGGAAATATAATAAAATTTCCCAATTTAAATTGCAAAAAATTCGTTATTGTTCTCTGGAGATAGCATAAAAATCAAATTTCAAATTCATGTTTTATTATTCTATATTCTTGTAAAACGAACATTTTTTCTTAAATTTGTTTCCAAAAATAAATTTAAAATGTTTGAAGACATTTAAAATGTAAAAAAAATTAAAATTATTTATCTATAAAACATAAATTCTATCAAATTTTGGGGAAAATTTTGAGAATGAACTTATATTATATTTATTCTTTTTTGGATATAGAATGATTTAATCCTAAACATATCAAGCCAATTTAATTGGCGATAAAATGATCAAATGGTTATGTTTTAACAATCCTATTATATGAGTGAGAATATAATCCTTAATAAAACACTAAAAAAGCTCATAGTACAATTTAAATCTAAGTATCCCTATAAATCTATATTCATTTTTTTTGTAGGGATCGATAATTTTGATCTTAAAATATACATTTTGGAAAAAAAATAAATTTTTTTAAAAAGTTGACATAGAATAATATAATCGTCAGACGACGATATATCAATTTTTTATAATTACACTATTCTATTTACATAAAAAAACAGAATTATTTATAAGATAAGTTAAATTATAGCCAATATAAAGTTATAAAATTAATTGGCCTTAGTTTATAAATTGTCTCAATCTAATTCTCAGGCAATGATATGCCTGATTTTCGTAAGGGCGATAGACTAATGACCGGTTTTTCATCATAAATTTAACAAATATTTCTAGAGAGCCTCTTTGAAGAACTTTGACCGGATAACATTTTTTTTTTAAATAACACTTATACTCATTTTTAAAAATTTCAATTATGCTTATAAAAAAGAAGTTTTTTCAACAGCTTCTATGTTTTTTTAAAAAAATATGGTTTATAATAGCAGTCATTTTTCGCGGGAAAGGAAGGCAGGGGAATGTGGCAGAATTTTTATGAAACTTAAATTGATAATTACAAAAACGGGCAAATATTTTAAGTTAAGCTTGGTTACTCTAGTGCTGAATTCATAATTGTTAGAACAACTTCACACTTAAAATGTAGACGTTATATTATTTATTTTTTGTCTATTAATTTTCATTAGGCAGTTAATAACAGAATTTAAAATTTACATGACGAAACACTAAATACTGGCAAAAACCGAATGCATAATGCTTCTGCAGTTTTTGCGACTCTACTAATAATGAACTAAGGAAAAATATATTGTTCAACCTCCTTTACGATAATGTGACGTCATTTTTAATTTGCTTATAACTCGTTTTTATTAGGCCGTTAATCCAACTAGTTTCAGAATTAAAATTTACTAATATACTAAACATGGGCATTTAATTCATTGCACCACCATTTATTATATTTTTTTAGCTATTAAAGTGATTAACGCATTAATTTCTACTAATGAAGCACTAAAGAATGATATATTTTCCATCGTTTATGCTTACAATAAATAGTTCGGCTAATTTAACACATAAGACGTGACATATTTTTTTTTATCTTACATATCAGGGTTTTAGCAGTTAGCCAAACTAATTGTGAAATTTAGATTATATAACATTTGTATTCTCTTAAGAATTTAAATATTTATATATAGAAAATTTTAAAGGGATCTTAGATACGCTTTTAAAAAGCTTAAAAGATACAAGGCACGCTGTATCTTAGAATACAAGTAATTGCGATAGTGCCCAAGCCCGATCATTAGGAAAATTAAATATTTTGAAGTCTGTAGGAATTGAGCCTAGCTATGAATTGGTGCAAAACACATTTATATTCACCCCTCCCCCACCATAAACACTATTTCATAAGTATCAATGATATCAAACAATATCGTAATGAATCCGTATCGATTAAGAATTTGGCAAAAATGCATCTCCACACTCTAATCCTATAACTTCCCGTTTTGTTTTAGGGTTATAAGGTAGTTATATCTGTATATAAAATGGAAATTGTTGTATAATATGCTTTATTAAATATAAATCGTAAATAAAATTAAGATTATTATAAACAGGCTAATAAATTGATATTTGTCAATTATAAAAAATACTTTCAATATTATAAATTTGATATTATGACATATTAGGCCATATAAGAATAATTAACAATGTTCATATGCCAGTCTAAATACATTTAATTAACAATCTATGAATATTCATATTATATATATAATTAATTCATTTAAGAACTTAAAATCTATTTTTACATCATTTAGAGATTTTAATCTCCATTTTTGTGGGATAAAATAAAAAAAATATCTAAAAATAAGAATATATTACTAAACTACAAAATACTGTGATTTAAATTTTAAAAAAATATTTATGATTTGATTATAAGATATAAAAAAAATAGAGTATATTATAAAATAATATAAATAAAATGAATAATTTACTAATATAAATTATTAAATTAAATATAATTTTTTTGTGTTGTTTTTCTGCCCAAAATTTTTAAATAACTAATTATGATTAATTTGGGGTCTTTTTTTATAAATAAAAATGGTATAAAAAAATTACTTTTTATTTATTACTTTAATTTTTTAAAATATTTTTTACGACGCCTTTTAGTTATCCAAATACACTTTTTTTTATGTTTTGAGCCCTTACAGCTCTTCGTTTTTAATAGTTCAATTATGGAAGGACATTGTTTTTTATCCATTTTAAGTTTATCACTGGTTCTTAAACTTATAACCTTGGTATTTGTTCGAGATAAAAATGAATTATTAGTGATGAGGCATAATTTAAAATCGAAGTCAACTCTTTCTGTACCATGTTTTACATATTTATTAATGATAGAACTTGATGCATCCTCAGTTTCCAGTGATTCCTCTTTAATTTCAGGAGTGAAAAACTCTGTTTTTATTGCCCTGTCTCGCACAAGAATAATGGTGGGCTAGTTTAAAATAAAAAAATATTAAAAGGGAAAGGATAATTGAGTATAGTCGGGTAATGGGCTAATCAGTGAATTCGGCTCAATTAACAGATGGATGCCATAAAATCAATTAAGAATTGAGGTGCAAGTTTAATTTTTTTACTTCAACTTTCTCAAAGGTTGGTCTATCTAGTCAAACAAAACCCTGAGGCTATTTTTTGGCTAAAAGTCGGTTTATTAATTCTTGGAATTGGCTAATAATGCAACTATTACCCAACTATAATGGTTTGAATAAATTTTGATATCAATAAAATAATTTGTTGCAATATGAAATTTCTTTGACTTAATATAATAATTTTTTTATTCTATTTAATATAACTTGCACTTAACATCACATTTTATACATATATGTATATTGATTATAAAAATGAGGTAATCATTTTAAAAAAATCAAAAATTGAATAAAATATTTATAGTAAACACACATTTTTAAATGGGGCACAGTTTTGAATATGATTATCACACATATTTGAGTTGGTATTAGTTGAGCAATTTAAAGAAGAAACTGAAATTGGAGATAATGGGCATAGCAATATGGGTCGATTTATTATTTCACGGATATTCAGATCACAATTGCACTCTTTTCAAATTAACAAATATAAAAACAGTTTTTTTTTAAATAAAATTGAATATATATATATAATCCATTATTAGTAATCATATCATTAATGATTTAATTATAAATATATCATAAAATAAAACATTTTAATCTAAAGTTATTTATACTACCTTCCTTGTCATTAATACTAATCATATCATCAGATGAATCACAGTCATTAAATGCAATATCTATCTCAGTATTTGTATTATTGGAATAATTTAGTATTTTAACAGATTGTGTGACTTTGTTGTTTCATTTAAAAAAAAATAAGTTAGTTTTACTAATATTAAATTTTTTACTTTCATCAGTCTGACATTGTACATTTCTTGTTATGGGCTTATCATTTATTTCTTGTTTTAACTAAGTAAAAAATAAATTTAAATCAATCTAAAATAATAAAAAAATACTTTATTTTTCTCAATCATTTTATTCAATCTTGCTGATATGAAAAAATAATTTAAATATCAATATAATATTTTACCTTCACAAAGCGTCAATTTTGACTTCAATCTTTGCTCACTATATAAATTAATATTTATTATCATTTATCATTACGCTATTTTGGAAAATTATCAAATATTGTAGATTAAATTAAATATGTAAGAATATTCATGAAATTAATCATCAAAAAACTATTAAACCTCTTTTCAGTTTCAACCAACTTAGCAACAGCCGCTTTATACTGTAGCATCTCATACTATTAATAAATGGCCATAAATATTATAAAACAAATTTATTACATCTTTGCCTGCTAATTGATTTTGATGGTCTTTAAGTTGTTTCAAAATTTTTTCTTTTTCCTAATATGTACATATGTAATAAATTTAATTAATTATATATATATACTAAATGCATCTCTAACATAGTATCTAATAAAACTTTAATCATATTTTCATAAGACTCAAATCCTCTAAAATAAATACTATACACAATAATTTAATAAAAATCTCACTCTTCCCATGCCTTGGTTGCATCAAGCAAAATGTATGAAATATCATTATGAAATTGGGGATAGTTTAAAGATGATCCGTTCTGTATATTTTCTTTCATTGATTTCGGTAGCATAATACTCTCATGATATCCAATATTATAATAATCAAATGGGATCAAATAACTTATTTTGTCTGTAGTTGTCAATTAATAACAAAATGGCTGCTATAAATCATGTGGTTGACAGATAAATTTTTGGGTTCCACCTCTAAATAGCGAGCAGATTTTTTTTAAAAAGGTATCGAAAGATACAATGGGTTCGGTTCATCCGGTGGTAAATATTATTTTATTTTAATCATATTTATTTACAGATATAACTTACATTAAAGAAATTAAGCTTAAAATCAGCCATCACCCACCTTTAAAGTAATTGGGTATAGGCTTTTTCTTTGTCCCACTCCTTCTAAATTAAAGCCTATAGAGGTTTAAGCAACATTTTTCGAAATGTTGTGCCTACAAGTACGTGCGGCTTGCCCACAAACGTGTGGAGGGCTCCTCATATTTTTATTTTTATACCCAAATTAAATTGTTCCAATTAGATGGAAATGAGGAAAACCTAGCGTAGCTCTGTTGAATCTTCAACGTTAGAGGGCAAAAGCGCTATATATCACGTATCACGTAAATAGCGAGCAGCAAAATAGCGAGATATTAAATGAATGAAAACCATAAAAATACTAAAATATAATATTTAAAAAAAATGTTAATTATTTTAAAAATTATAAATATATAAATCATTTTAAAAATTATAGATATATAAATCATTTTAATAACATAATTATAATATATTAATACTGTTGTAAAAATTATTTTATTATATAAATTATTTTTTTATTATAAAACTATTATTATAAATGTATATAACACATAATTTTTATCATTGTTTTAAATTATTAATATATTAATTGTTTTAAATTATCAATATATAAATTGGTTTTAATTATAAATGAGCACATATATCTATTATAAATAATAACTATAATTTTTCAATATTAAAATTTTTGAGTTAGGCATTAATTTCGATTTGCCTAACTTTGATCGTAAAGTCATTTGATCGTAAATTTTGTCCATTTTTCTCTGATTGGTCTATTTAATCGCGGTAAATTAAAATCATTTAAAAACATTATGCTTAATACTGTAGCTGATAATTTAAGACTATTTTTTAAAAGAAGAAATGAATCATTACAAAGTATGATATATTTAATTTGATTTTTAAAAAAATATTTTTGTAGAGTGACACAAAATCATCTAACAGCTGAAGGTATATTCAATACTAAACTTATCTAGATTACATACATTAATTTAGATAAAGATTCTCAGTGTAATATAGATCAGAATATTAGCCAACCCAGTAGCTCATCTAGTAATCAATAAGTAACAAATAAAATAATTATTTTTGAATAAACAAGCTAATACAATTCAACAAATACAACCACAACATATACAGCCCCAAATATTACAACCAATTACTAGAGATAACTTTTACCCTCCAATTTCAAGTAACAGAAATAATTGTATAAATTAATAAACATTTTTTTAGATATATTAACAAATGTGGCCCAAATACAAAGTTTTGCATTTAACCACACTAATAATCAAACTACTTTTACAAGTAGATTACAAATATTTTTTTAAAATTATATTTTAATATAATTAGACCTGGAAGACATTAACAATGCAGGAATTTTATTAGACTTATATAATTCCAACAATGAAAATTTAAGTAAATAAATTATATTATTACATTTACATAATCTAATTATAAATAATTTATATTTTGACACTGTAATTTTTAGATATACAATATATTCCAACTTCAAAAGTGAATTTGTGCTTGTATCATGTTGGATAATATATAACAAAAGAAAAGAATATTCAAAATCTAATTACTCAATATAATTTAAAAATTATGAATAAATATTTATTTGTTTAAAACTTATGTATAATTATAATATAGATGTATAATAAAATATAATATTCTGACCAAATTATCAATTAATTTTAGTTATAAGTTATAATTATCTAATAAATAATAAATTGTAATCATATTTATCAGTTGCTTCTATTTCCATTATTTAAAGGAGTTCAAAATCAGTAGCTCTTCTTTCTTCATTATCTAATAAATAATAAATTTTAATCATATTTATCAGTTGCTTCTATTTCCATTATTTAAGGAGTTCAAAATCAGTAGCTCTTCTTTCTTCATTATCTAATAAATAATTGATATATGTTTATTAATAGGTATACATTATTACACTAATCTGATATAAAGAATTAGAAAAATATTTCCATTATTTAAGGAGTTCAAAATCAGTAGCTCTTCTTTCTTCATTATCTAATAAATAATAAATTTTAATCATTTTTATCAGTTTATTAATAGGTATACATTGTAATCATATTTATAGTTGCTTCTATTTCCATCAATTAAAGGCATTCAAAATCAGTAGCTCTTCATTATTTAATAAATAATACATTGATATATGTTTATTAATAGGTATACATTAGTACACTAATCTGATATAAAGAATTAGAAAAATATTTCCATTATTTAAAGGAGTTCAAAATCAGTAGCTCTTCTTTCTTCATTATCTAATAAATAATAAATTTTAATCATTTTTATCAGTTTATTAATAGGTATACGTTGTAATCATATTTATAGTTCTTCTATTTCCATCAATTAAAGGCATTCAAAATCAGTAGCTCTTCATTATCTAATAAATAATACATTGATATATGTTTATTAATAGGTATACATTACTACATTAATCTGATATAAAGAATTAGAAAAATTACGTGCATATAAATTCATATGAATTAAAAAATCGTCCATTTTGACCTGAAATGGTCAAAGGTACCTTAATTTCTGGGGGTAAGTATTTATTTTTGAAGGGTAATCTTTACTTGTATTATGATGTTTTTAAATCCAATAATTGATAAACCAAATATACCTCTTTAAAAATTAATCATCTTATATTTTTACAATTTATAGAAATGAAAATGAGTTATCACACTTAATCTAAAAATAAAGTGATTATCAACTAAATGATAAAAAGATTTGCACTATTAAAATATATATTTATTTCCTATTTTTAGAAAAAGGATAGTAACATATTAATTATAACCTACAAATTTGAAAATCCTTATCTCCTAAGGCTTAAAATATTGTTAATAGAAATATGTTATTATAAGGTTGTATATGGTGGCTTACTGTAATATTCTTTTTATTATTATCACTAATCCATTATGGATTGGCAAATATCGCGGCCAAAGGGCAATATATTTTAGGGGGTAAGGGTAGATTTTGGAAAGTGGCTTGCATCCATCAAATTTTCTACCATGTAGATGTTGGTTATTGTTATTATATTATAAACATATATATTACAATTTTATTTAAATCATTTGTATATTTTATTAGGGGGGAAGGTACCTTTTAATAGCATGTGGGGATAGGGTAGGGGGTATTTTTTTCTCTCATGTATACACCAGTGGCGTAGTCAGGATTTTCTCATGGGTGGTGGGGGGGGGGGGGGTACTGTGATAAATTTATGTGTAAAATGAATATATTTGATACCCTTTCCCTTTAATTAGAGTCTAATATTTTTTTAATGTAAATTAAAATTAGTTTCTATAGAATTATAAATTATTGTTACTTTTCAGAAAAAGTATTATTCTGATAATGGCTCATACTTGAACTTTAACTGCTGCAAATGGCCAATACTCAAAATTGATAACTAATCCTCTAATAGTAAATGATTATAATTCTATTTTCCTACTCTTTTATTTAATGTTTTATCAGTACAATATAGGGTTTAACTTCATAAATTAATTTTATTAGTCAAAGTTGTGTAGCCAGGATTTTCTAATGAGGAGGGGGGGGGGGGGGTTTAAATGTTTTTTAGTAGGCTTTAGCCCTAATATTCTATTTTTTATGAACACTCAATTTCTTATATCTTAGATTATGTTAAAATTATCTGAAATATTTGCACATAGTAAAATTTTAGAGAGTATTATAGATTTTATTTATTATATAAAAATAAAAATACTTTAGGATATAGTATTAATTGCATAAATTTTAATAGTTAATACAAATGTTATAATTAAGAATTCAATTGACGAAAAAATTTGATGGCTAAAATAATTAATAATGTTTTGATATTTGGCAGGGAACTAAAATACAATTACACATGGAAAGGGCCTGAAGAACATTTTTTGATCTCTAAGAATGCTCTCTTCTGTCAAGATTTTAATACCAAAATTCGACATCACAAAATAACTTATCATATGATGTGTTAATTAGTCTAGTTCTTCCTACTATTTGAGATATCAGAGAAACCAATTTTTATTTAATGTGTTAATCTATTTTTATTTATTAAAAAATATTATAAAAAGGTGAATGGTATTTGTTCAATAATTTTTTAAAACATATCTTATTTTTTAAAATTTATTGCAAAAAAAAGAAATATAGTTCAATAAAATGTTACCGACTCTTGTCTTTCAATGAATCTACTGGGACAAAATCTTTTTAGTTTCTTTTTTTTGATTCTTTGAATCAAATTTTTAAAAAATCTATTTTTTATGGGGGGGGGGGCGTTGAACCCCAACCCCCCTTCTCCCATGCCTACGCCACTGGTATACACTGATAAGATCATAATTATTTTTTAAATAATTAAACTAAAAATTTTTTTATCATAAAAATAAATAGAATATCATAAGTTATGTATTAAATATTTTCAGAGTTGGTTCTACAATCAAATAACAAGCTTCCTCTCTTTTTTAGTTATAGATATTCTATTAAATAGCTACTATTTTTGTAAAAGTAACTACCGATATATTTTTTAACAAATGTAGCGCGCTAATGTTAACAACATAATTTATGGTGAATAGTTATAACGATGACGAAACTAGTGAAACAATTGAAAAACATATATCTCTCACTTAATTTATTCAAAAGGTAAAGCAAAAAAATGATATTCAGCAGCAAGAGTGGCATGATTATTGTACTTCATAAATATATTCATCTATGCAGAATCAAAGTTATTCAAATATCCGCTTATTAAACCCAATAGCGAGTATCAAAATAGCGATATATGATTATCTTTTTATCTATTTTATATTCGTATTATAGTTATAATATAAATGAAAATGTAAATCTCTATATTATAAAGTTACGATGTTGTTACGTCATGTCATCACTACGTAGTGTCATAGTGACGTCATGCTTTATTTATTTTATTCTCAAAATTAACTTAAATATATTTTTATAAATTATATTGGGCATAGCTTTGGGAAAATTCCGCTTGCTTTAAACAAATTTTTTGCAGATATAGATTGTATTTTTAACATTATGATTTTATAAATATTTTATTACAGCTTTCAACTACCAAAATTTTCATGATCGTTAGTTGGGCTTGGTGAATTTTTTTCAAAATTATTATGGCCTTGGACATTGCTTGGGAATTTTTTTAATTTAAATATTGGGCATATGATCAGTAATATTTTTAAAAGCTTAATATATATTTTGACTTAAAACATAGTACTTACTTGGTTTTAATGGATTGGACCTGGTCTGAAGAGATAGGTGGGTTATAAAGAATATAAATTGGATATTATTTTGAAATAACTGGTATCAACTATCATAAAAGTAAGGATTCTCATTCCCCGTTAATTTTGTCGAGCTATCTACTAGTATATATAAATTTTCATATTAAAATTATATACTAATATTTGTTATCACGAATATATTTTTTAAGATGGGAGATAGGGAGTATCTTTTCTCTCATATTTATGCTGTTAAGATACAAATTACATTTTATAAAGAAATGAAAACTAAATAAACTGCAATGTTGCCTTCTCAAAAATATATAAAAATTATATTTAAAATATTTATAAATAAATATTAAAATAAATCGAATATCATGAGTTATATATTAGAAATTAGAGATAAGTGGTTAAAAGATACTTTTTAAATGTATATAGATTGCTTTAAGTAATTTTCTTTTTTTCTCGTGTTCAAAGTTAAGTCATTGTTATCATTAATATTATGATTTTATTTTTTTTGTGATAATAAATAATAATTTTTTTAAATTATATACAAGAGATAATGTTTAAAATAAGATTCATTATGAATTTTTTTTAAATAAAATAATATATCTCGAAATATCAATTCTGAACTTATATAAAATAAAATATTTAAACCAGTGTGAAATAATTAAGAACTGGGAAATTAAATAAAAAATAAATAAGAAACAGGAAATAGATAGATAAAATTTTTAATATACTCTAATATTAGGTTAGCATAAACTAAAATTGGAATTTTATTGTGAAAATTTATGAAATAAGCTAAAAAATTTGTTGAATCTCGATATCACATTTATCTAAATATAAAAAATATCTACTTTATTACTAAAAAGTTCATAATACACACGCAAACAATTATTTGAATTTATATTTCATATTAATATAATATTAAAAAAAAGGTTATTTAAATAAAAATATAATAAATGGGAAAAGATTTATAAGAATCGCGAGTTAAGATTGCAATTTGATTAAATAGGATATATTATCTAAAAAAATAAACACATCCATATCCCGTTCGTAAAGGGAATATAAATTATCTATTAAAATATTAAGTTGAATATATTTTCGATTTTTTCTATTTATATTCAACCCGCTATTAATTTGTATATATTTGAGCTCACTCGAGTGTTGGTGACTTTTTAAAATATTTATTAAAGAATAAATATTAGGATGCGCGCAGTGTGTTTTGTGCTTCAAGCTATGATGATAGCCCTCTAGATGGTTGTTTGTCCTAGGACCATTAACTTGATATCTAATTATAAATTTATTTTGTATATACACATTAAAAATTTTAATACCTTGTCCATAGGCTATGGGGAAATAAAGCGTTAATGGAAAGCCATGTCAAATCCATATATTGCATAAATTGTATTAGCAAAGGATTTTCAAGCGACATGGCAAGACATGATGACCTAACTTCTGAAATATCTTCCTCCCGGCAAAAGGGTAAAGTAGTCTACGTCTGACTACTTTGTGGACAGTGGTATTGTCTCTATATTCTTTTGTTAACCCTAGTCTGCCCGTATCTAGGATTAAATATGATATTATTCTCGGCGCAGCACCTTAGAATAATTTGAAATAAATCTATATAGGTGGCTCTTGTTTTGTCAGGAAGGAGGGCATATACAATAGGTATCATTGTCTCCTGATACAAGACGTGAATTGTATACAACTGGTAATATAGTCGTGGTACAACGTAAAATGTACCAACCATATATATGGTATCATTATCACACGTTTCTATGAGCTTTAACATGCTACATGTCCCAAATACCAATAGTTTATTATTATTATTATCATCATTATTAATTAAAAATATATCACCCCTATTTGTGGTGATATATTCGGGCAATAAAACTATGCTATCTACGGATTGTGGCAAAGGTGGCCGAATTTTTTGTAATAATCGATCGATGGTACTTTTTAACGAAATAAATGAGGGCATCGCCTCCAGATAGAAATTTATATTTGGGGTTTCCAAAAATCTTTTATTTATGGCTTTTTCATAAATATTATGCCTTGTTTCTAAAGAATTTTCGGCAACTATATCCTCTAGAACCTCATGAGTTCTTAACTTTTCAAAAATATCAATTTCATTTTGATGTTCATGCAATCCAGAAGTAATGTATATAACATCGAATTTGCATGAAGCCTTGCAGCCAACTTTCCTGCAACGATAATGTATTTTATTATCTTTTTGATAATCCTGTCGATACAAATAATCTTGAAAAAAAAGAAGCGGTTTTCCTTTTTGAGATTTTACAAACCGGGGATCTTAATAAATAGAAAAATTATATATTAATAAGGGCTCAAACATTAAAGGAAAAATCAGACAGAACAAGATACTTTAAAAAAAATTCGAGCAAATAAATAACTTATCATTTAAAGATATGTTAAAATTTTTTAAAATTATTTCAAGGTCATGCCTAAAAACAATTTAAAAAATCTCTATGCTATATTAATATATAGGGTTATAATATTATGTGACAATATGTATTTAATTAAAGCCATTTATAAATATATTTTTACCATTTATATTTTGATGTAAATCCATTAATACATGGGCCACTTCTAAAGGCAGATCCGTATTACCTATAAATATATTTTAGATATTGTAAATTAATGTATAAGATACTTTCAATGCCAACATTTATATCTTGATAAGTTCCTGAATTACCTAGATTTGAAATAAAGGTTTGATAGGCTCTGGCAAAGCCAGAGGTAGTTTGAGGGGCTATTGAAACTTGGGCTAATAATTTTAAGTTAATTTCAATAAAAGTATATTAAAAATACCTTGATGTGTAATGGCTAGGCCAACTGAACTTAAAGGTGGAGGGGCTAATGCTAAATCTTTAAATCAATGTTAAAATTATTGTATGGATATATATATATATAAATACCTTGATTTGCATTGGAAATTTGAGGGGCTATTGAAACTTGGGCTAATAATTTTAAGTTAATTTTAATAAAAGTATATTAAAAATACCTTGATGTGTAATAGCTGCAACTGAACTTAAAGGTGGAGGGGCTAATGCTAAATCTTTAAATCAATGTTAAAATTCTTGTATGGATATATATATATATATATAAATACCTTGATTTGCATTAGAAGTTTGAGGGGCTATTGAAACTTGGGCTAATAATTTTAAGTTAATTTTAATAAAAGTATATCATAAATACCTTGATGTGTAATGGCTAGGCCAACTGAACTTAAAGGTGGAGGGGCTAATGCTAAATCTTTAAATCAATGTTAAAATTATTGTATGGATATATATATATAAATACCTTGATTTGCATTAGAAGTTTGAGGGGCTATTGAAACTTGGGCTAATAATTTTAAGTTAATTTTAATAAAAGTATATCATAAATATACTAATTAAGTTTATTTGACTGGCAATCACTTCATGAAATATATTAATATGATTTGTATCTATGACATTTATATCATTGATAATATATATATATGACATTTATAACATTGATAATATATAATATAAATCTCATTTATAACATATCCCCACACATATGATCTTACAATTCCTCAATAAGCCGATTTGTAGGTTTCCTGGCTCTTTGTGATTTCCGCGTTTCTAGTTTTCCGTTATCTTCCACATTTTCTAAAGTCTCAACTATATCCGACTCTTTATTTTTTATATTTTCCTCTTCTCTCTCTGACTCCATATTTTCTTCATTATCTTTCCCTGGCCCAGACTTCTCCATTTCTTTACCTACCTCCCTTTTTCGAAGTTGATCCGCATGCTTTCGTACCATTCTATCCTTGCTTTCTACCAAATAAGAATATCTGCCAGTTCTGGATTTTATAATTCCTTCTCTCCAACCTGAATTTATTTCATTATGCACCCATACCGGTTGTGCAATCTCAAATTCTCTCATATGACTATGTTCATCATGCGCTACTTTTTGTCTTATATTCGATCGTTCCATTTCATAACTAACATTAGGACGTAACCAAATTAATCCCGTTTTTAAATTTCGCCCCAATAATAACTTAGCCGGTGAACGCCCAGTTGATTGATGCTCACCCATTCTATATGCTAGCAAAACTTCTCCCATGGCTTCCTCGGGCTCCCTGATGTCTTTCCTAGTTGCAAAATATCGACTCTTGAGGGTTCGTATCGTTCTTTCCGCTAAACCGTTCATTTTTGGATGGTACGGTGTTGTATGTATCAATTTAATATTTTTCTCGAAACAAAATTTTCGAAATTCTCCAGAAATAAATTGAGGTCCATTATCTGATACGATTTGTATAGGTGTTCCAAACCGTGCGAACCATTTCCTTAAAACCCTGATCATTGTCGTGGACGTGGTCTCTCTCATTAACTCAACCTCAGCCCATTTAGTATGTGCATCAACTCCAACTAACCATGAATACGAATCAATAGGCCCCGCGAAATCCAAATGAATTCGTTCGCATGGTATATTAGATATGTTCCACGAATATAAAGGAACCTCCATAATATTCGACCGATTACTTTGACAAGGCATACATTGACGAACATATTGTTCAATATCTTTATCGCAATTCGGCCACCCGCAATACATAAAAATTGATTTCATAGCATTTATTCCTGGAGCCCTCTGTGTATAATCGTTAAAATTGATTTCCTCAAAATGGTTGGAACTACCAACCTCCCATTCCATTCAATAACATCATGATCTACTGACAATTCCTCTCTACGATTATAAAAACAAACTAACTCTGTATTTTTTTTCGCATCAAAATCCACCCATCCATGCTCAATGTTTTTAACTACTTTTTTAAACAAGCTATCATTCCTTGTTTCCTTTTGGAGTTCAACTTGACTAATATTTATATCGTGCAAATTTATAGCTCTAATTTTTAACGAGTTTTTTTGATCATTATTTGATTTTATGCCATCTATTGGCAGTCTAGATAATGTATCAGCTACTTTATTATCTTTTCCAGGAACATATTCAATATCAAAATCATATGCGGACATTTTCCAAGCCCAGCGCGTTAATCGACTATTGGATATTTTTGGTAGTTCCCGTTTATCACCAAATAATTTTTCCAAAGGTTTGTGATTTGTTCGTAATAAAAATTTTCGACCAAAAATGAATGTATGAAATTTTTCCATACCAAACAAAAGTGCTCGTGCCTCTTTTTCTATTGGTGCATAATTTTTCTCTGACTCTAGAAGTGTTCTCGAGGCAAATGCGATTGGTCTGCTAATATCTTTTTTCACTAAATGACATAACACAGCTCCAAAACCAGTGTTGGAAGCGTCACATTCCAATATAATTGGCAAGTTTGGCGAATATGGAATTAGCGTTTTATTTGTTGACAAAAGCTGTTTTATTTTATCAAATACCTCTTGTTCCTTGTCCGACCAACCCCAGCAAGATTTAATGCTTGTTAATTTATGCAGAGGAGCGGCAATTCTATGTAGATGTGGCAAAAATCTCTCGTGATAATTCACAAGTCCTAAAAAAGATCGTAATTGGTGTATATTATTAGGAGTTGGTATCCTTCGAATAGCATCTATTTTTTCTTTCGCTGGATGTATTCCATATTTGTCTATTACGAAACCCAAAAAAGAAACTGATTCATTTAAAAAACGTATTTTGGCCCATCTTGCCTTCATACCCACCTGTTTTAGTTTCATTTGTACTTTTTTTACGTTATTCAAATGTTCTACATCATTTTTCCCCGTTATGATAATATCGTCAAGATATACTCCAGTCATTTGGCAGTCTTGTAATAAATTGTCCGGCGCACTAGAAAGACCGAAAAGCATACATTGATATTGGAAATAACCAATGTGGGTCGATATGGTTAAGTATTCTTTTGAACTTTCTTTTATTGGTAATTGTAAATATGCATCTTTCAAATGTATTACCGTAAATTTCAATCCATCTTTTAATTTGGTTAAAAGATCATCCACCGTTGGTATAATATGATAATCGTACAAAATATATGGGTTTAATGTCACCTTAAAATCCGCACAAATCCTGATTTCTCCATTTGTTTTTCGTACGTTTACCGTTGGAGTGGCCCATGTCAATCGTTTTTGTGTTGGATCAATCGCCTTCAATATTCCTGATTTAACCAATCTATCGAGTTCCATTTCAATTGGTTTTCGTAATGGAAAAGGTACTCTACGAGCTGGCCATGATTTCGGCCTTGCTGCCTCACTCAAATGTATGCTAACTTCTATATCATTCACCCGTCCAGGCTTGTCATCAAAAACACTAACAAATTCTGTTGTCATGTCAGCAATTTGTTTATTGGTTGTCATAACCTCTTTATTTGTGATACTACGTATAGTCACTTGTCGTGGAATAAACATATTAAATGCCAGTATCCATGGTAGTCCAAATAATGGAATGTCATTTGAACCGATCACCACAATCGGTAGTGATCTGCTTATCTTTCCAAAACGAACCCTCACCATAGTTTCACCCAGCACATCTAGCGGTTGGTTACCATATACTGATAAAGGTTTGGTTGGTCCAAGTTTGGGTCGGCCAATTTCATCCCAATATTGTTTCCCAATCACCGATATTTGTGCCCCCGTATCATAGTCAAATTCTATAGGTACTCCATTAATCCAAACAAATATCTTTGCACTATTTCTACCAATTTGGGATATATTATTAATTGAATCTGATGAATCATTGTCATCTATATGCATAGCATGTAACTTCTGTCCCTTACAATATTTAGCATAATGCCCTACCTTTTGGAAATTAACATTTCACCCTTGATGCAAAACATTGAAAAGGGGGATGAGTTCTTCCACATTTTGAGCATTTATTAAACTTATACATATCATTATTGTTAAATTTATTGTTATCTCTAAACTTAAAATTATTATTATTGTAATAACTAAAATTACCCTTTTCTTTGTTATTATTATTATATGAGTACTTTTGATTTGAAAAATTTTCTTGATTATTCTCTATCTGCTCCTTAGGTTTATTGACTTTTTTTACCATCATATTTGTCACTTCATCCTCAGCCCTTTGCATTGCCAAAGCCATATTTAAAACCTGTTGAAAACTCACCATTTCTCCTAAGTCATTTATTCCATCTGGAAATCTAGTGCGAATATCTTTCTCCAATGCACTCATTTTGATTCCAGCCACCATCTGATCCCTCAATCTCCCATCTAGGTCAGATTCAAATTTATATTCTTGAGCCATTTTTTTAAGTCGAGCTGCAAACTCCGCAACTGATTCACCAACCCCTCTTTCTATCCGAATAAATTTAATTCTCGAGCTAAATAATGTTGAAATAGGCTTAAAAACTTTCTTACCAACTTCAATAATCTCTTCATAATTAAGATCTTTCAATATTTTTGGATAAACAAAGGACCTCATCTCAGCTAAATTACTAATACCCATATACGCAAATAATATTTTTTTTTTGGTTTCATTATTTATTAATATACCTCTTATCTCCAACATATCATCAATATATTCAATGTAATCAGCAAAGTTGTTTTGATTATCGAAATTATCGAATTTGATCATAATGTTATCATTTTTTTCTTCTTTATTCATACTTACTTTATTTTTGTCTTCTTTATTCATAATAAATCATCGACAACGTCGCCAATATACTGACTGGCAATCACTTCATGAAATATATTAATATGATTGATTTGTATCTATGACATTTATATCATTGATAATATATATATATGACATTTATAACATTGATAATATATAATATAAATCTCATTTATAACAATAAATACCTTGATGTGTAATGGCTAGGCCAACTGAACTTAAAGGTGGAGGGGCTAATGCTAAATCTTTAAATCAATGTTAAAATTATTGTATGGATATATATATATAAATACCTTGATTTGCATTAGAAGTTTGAGGGGCTATTGAAACTTGGGCTAATAATTTTAAGTTAATTTTAATAAAAGTATATCATAAATACCTTGATGTGTAATGGCTAGGCCAACTGAACTTAAAGGTGGAGGGGCTAATGCTAAATCTTTAAATCAATGTTAAAATTATTGTATGGATATATATATATAAATACCTTGATTTGCATTAGAAGTTTGAGGGGCTATTGAAACTTGGGCTAATAATTTTAAGTTAATTTTAATAAAAGTATATCATAAATACCTTGATGTGTAATGGCTAGGCCAACTGAACTTGAAGGTGGAGGGGCTAATGCTAAATCTTTAAATCAATGTTAAAATTATTGTAAGGATACCTTGATTTGCATTAGGAGTTATGGCTGCTACCAAGTTTTGACATTCTAAAGAATGTTGGATGGTGATAATTAAATCGAGACCAATCATTAATTTGGCTCTACCACCACATCTTTTGCGACAAGTAAGGTAAACGGCCTTTTTACCACTTGTATGGGCCAAATATTCATGCCCTTGGTAGCATATATAGTCCTTTTTCTTCTGTGTTTGCTGAAAATAAAAATAATAAATATATAAAATGGTTTATTACTTTTATTTCAAGTTGTTTATATTTAAGATAATTTTTAAGATTATCAGCTACAGTTGGAATCATATCAAAAATATGGCGGCCATTTCTTATGAGTATTATTGTGATTATTCTCATTTTTCGCTATTTTGATGCTAGCTATTTAGGTCTCTTACCAAATTTTTGTACAAATTTTATCTATAAAATAATATTTGTAATTAAATTAAAAGTTGGCAATGGATTATGAATATAGGCAATATAACAAAAGTTTGAAAACAAGCTAAATAGAATTGATATAATTATCAAAAATGTTTCACGATGATATCCTACTTTAGCAAATAACTCACATTCATTAAACCACAGAGCATCATGTGTAATTCTCCTCATCATTAATTATCAATTTTATGAAATTAAAAAAATATGAATATGATGCATTTTTATCAAAAAGAAAACACATTACATAGAAAATTTAAAATAATTTATGAGGGTTAGGTTAGGATAGATTAGGGCAGAGTTGTACAAAAGATCTTCTTTGGAGATTTTTGAGCGAGATCTAGCTCAAAAATTTGAGCAAGATCTTTGAAGATCGTAAAATTTGAAGATCTTTTATTTTTTAAAAATTTTGTGTAACGATCTTCAAAGATCTAGATCTTTGAAGATCGCTGCGATCAACGATCCTCAAAGATCTTCATGATATTTATTTTTTTACCCCTTTATTAAAAGCCCAGATGTTTTTCAATTTTCATCAAGGCAGGAGGAGAGGTATAAAACATAAAAGAAATATTATATTAATAAAATTGAAAAACATCTGGGCTTTTAATAAAGGGGTAAAAAAATAAATATCATGAAGATCTTTGAAGATCGTTACACAAAATTTTTAAAAAATAAAAGATCTTCAAATTTTACGATCTTCAAGGATCTAGATCTTTGAAGATCTTTTTATTTTGAGCAAATGTACAACTCTGGATTAGGGTTTGCAAATAAAAAATATTAAATAATTATTTAAAATCAAACATTTTTTTATCTTAAATTAAGATATCATTTAAAGTATTTTCAGGAAATTTTGTCAGAACCCCATGACTAAGTTCTGTTAATTTTTTTTATTAAGTTTTTCGATTTTGACCGCATGTTGAGTAGAGCTATATTGTTTAATTTGAGAGTAATTCAAAAAATATTTTATTTTTACAGAGTTATATTTCATAAGTAGACATTTTGTCATTTTCATGTATGATATTTAAAAAGATAAAATCAAAAATTTTTTTAAAAAATATTTACAGAGATTATTGTCCAATAATTATTTTTTAAATTCAGTAAAATTATACATTTAGGACTTTATTAGCAATAGACATAGTCGGGTATGGGGAGGGGCAAGGGGAAATCTCCCCCCCCCCCTTCAAAAGTAAGTCACTTTTTGTGATATTCATTAATAAAAACTACCCTCCTCCAATAAAATTTAGGGGAAAACCTTACCTAATAGTACCACTTTTTTAAGCAAAATTAGGTAACGCCTGTGAAAATATGTCTATACATTAAAGTCCACCATTGAATGGTAATGTCTTTCAGGAATTATAACCAAGACATTACATTTGACATTAACCCTTTTAATAAATTAATTGTCAATCTAGATTGGTATTAATGTGATTAATGGCAAGAACCACCATTTAAAATAGAAACAAACTAAGCCAAGTCTAACTTTTAGGTCGAAATCTTTCCCATTCCCTTGGCTATATAATTTTGCAGTGCAAAAATTCTTAGAAAAGTTATTCCAACCTTAACAGAAGGGATAATAATTTGGTATTGGGTAGCTAAGGCATGTAGGTTTTTTAGATACCTTAAAAAAATTTTAGGCCCGTAAAATTCTATTAACCATTGGTCTGAACCTGTTGTCACCCTGAAATATATAAATAATTTTAATCCAAAAAATATTTTTTTAAATATTAAACAATTATTAGTAGTCGGCGCTGCCTGTCTTATTGAAAATTTTACTCGGGCCGTTCAGCCCAGCATAAATATTATTGCACAACTTGTCCAGCCAGGCGTGCATCTATTTTTTTATGAAGGCAAAATATAAAAATTTGTGCAATTTTAAGCTTAAGGAAAATTTGCAAACTTATAGCTAGATCCCTATAAATTAGAAAAATTTAGCCAGAATATGGCTAGAAATTTTTTTTTTCCGAAACCAGAGATTGTTTATTATTTATTTAAAAGCTTTATCACAGTCTAAATTTCTATTTTAGGCCTAGTATTATATGAATATAAATAAAGCAAAAATTGTTTAGAATAATTAAACGGGTTGTCCGGTCTAGTAGTGTTGTTACGACCCATTTTGGATCGATTTTTAAAAACGGCCCAATTAAGATTTTAGCCAAAATAATATTTTGTAAACCTTGAGATTTAACCAATAGAGAACCAAACCTTTCTGCCGCCTATGAGCAAAATCTCCAGGCTTATATAATATTATTTTAGCTAAAATCTTAATTGAGTGATTTTTTTAAATAGATCCAAATGGAGCCAATTAAAAACACAGTTAAAAGGCTCGATTTTAACCGATTTTTTTTAAAAATAACTCTCAATATTTTATCCAGAAAATATTATGCAAGCCTGATAATTTTGGTCTTGATTGTTTTTGTAATTTAATAAATATATTAAAAATACCGAAAGACATTGATGTATTGTTTGAGGAGATTGTAATTCTCTCTATTTTTTATGATTCACCAGAATACTTAAAGTCTAAAAGAAGAGGAGATACGGGTAGAATTTTTTCGCAATAACAATAAATTCCCATGCTTGGAAAAAAATTGTGAATATGTCTTCTCCTTACCTCATTCTTATACCTCATCCGAGCGCATTTTTAGCCTGATGAGGACTGCGTGGAAAACGGATTGCTTTAACAACATTAGAGGCCGAGCTAATGGTTAAACAAATTTATAATATGTCATGCCAGGAATTTTATAATATCTCAATAACGATGGTAAACGTTTAGTACCATTATTTAAATCTCAAATAAAATATAATTAACAATATATTTAATTTTCCATATTTTTTTATTTATACATTCGCATAAAATAAATATATTTTTTACAATGTAAATCAAAAATAGAGAGCTTACAATATCCTCAAACAAGACATCAATGTCTATCGGTATTTTTAAAATATTTGAACATTTTAATATAGTTTTAGCAATGGCGCCATAAAATTTATTGTTGTAAAGATTAACACATCTGCAGCATAATTTTGTGAATCTTTGTTAAGATTCTTCTGATTGCGATTGCACATTAACAGTATGTAGTAGAGTTCCTACATGTGAAATCATTCCTAAATATACCTCTGCCATATATTACTAAAAAAAAATTTAAAATGTTAGGACAGCTTTTATAATCTTTATTTAAGAAATATTTAAAGGTTTATAAAATTTTAAAATTCTATAGATGGCGGGTATTAGGAACATATCGCAACCAATATTGTGCTGACTCAATTCTATAAATACACTCTGGTTTTTTCCAAATTCACTGAGGCATTATCAGATCATAAAGTTAACATCTAATTTATTGATAATCCCGAATCTGCTATATTTACCATTATATGGTTAGCTATTCCCGAATCTGCTATATTTACCATTATATGGTTAGCTATGTCTTTGGATTTTTCACTATTTGAAGGGAAAAAATTTTAAAGTTTTCTTGAAACGTCCTTAATTTTGTTGAAATAGCGAAGGATCAAAAGAAATATTTTAATATTTCCCTTATTAGATGCATCTGTTAGAATATTGCATATGTATACTTATCTTTCAAATCGTCAAGAATTGACCTCCTGAATTCAGGTTCTAAAACATTAATGATATCCTTGCTCATTTTTGTTCTACAAGTAAAGTTTTCATTTATCTTGGAGTCGTTAAATATTATGGGGAAAGATTCTACCTACATTATAATGTGAATGTGGTACTACAAGATAAGTGATTACAATTGCTGCAACCGTAGTTGCATCTGTATTATTTCTTATTTTTGGAGAATATTTTTGTTTTGCACTGGATGTAGATTCACTCTCCTGCGCTGATTATTATAATGTGATTGAACAATAATAAATAAAATAATTATCATTGAAATGAGTACAATATTACCTTATTATGTATTTAAACGTGATACATGATAATTACACGCCTATCCCTATAATGTTATACATACACAAGGTAAATTTCCAATTGCGGATGTTTTGCGGGACATTCGCATAAAATATATTTTTTACATTATAAAATTAAAATCGTTTGTTTTTTTTATAAAATTTTATCTTGTTTACATTCTTTTATATTTAAAAAGGATCGTTGGTTATTTTTTATAAATTAATATATTTTAATAAATCAAGATGTTATTTTATTTTGAAAAATAGTTACTGAATTTGTATTTATATAAACTAATTATAAAAAATAATAGGCGGATAATTAAGTCATTTAAAAATCACCTTTTTTAGCAATTTTTTTATTTCTACGCATTTTCATATTTATCTCGCAATTTTCATATTTCTCTCGCAAAATACCAAATTTTTCCCGCAATTTGAAAATTTTGACCTGGCAACCCTGCTCCCCACGCGATATTGTCATTAGCCCCTACAATGGAAAGGGGAGGTCTGAAGTAACTGTTTCTAAAAAATCTTTTTAAATTTAATTCTTTTATTATTTTTCAACACCCATAACCAAGTGATTTCTGATTTATGATATCGAACTCGACCTCGTGATTTCGTTAATACATATCATATTAAATTAAATAATAAGTGTGTGTGGTCGATTATTTCGCACTCGGTAATATTATCTTATTTATTTATATTTAAAAATTTATTTTATATTTATAGAAACTGACCATCTCATATAAAGCGATTGCAAATTTTTTTCTACTTTATGATGCCTGGAGGGCAGCTTTGACAATTTAAAGGTTTCTGAAGATCCTGTCACTACCATTATGACTAGTGCCATAATCTGTAGAATATAAAAATTTTATTTTATTTGATCACTTTGTGTTTTGGATAAAATATTGTTTAACAGGCTCTTGTACAAAATTGCAAACCATTTCGTATGATATAGAGTTTGCAATAAATCATATTCAAATGTCAAAAGATTGCAAGATTAATTTGAGAAGTATAAATTAAATTTTTATCTTTTATTATTTTTTAATTCTAATAGATTAAGACACTAAATTTTTATATGTTTTTTCAAAGGCACAAGATTTTATGAAGGAGAGAAATCTACCTTTTGATTTTGAAGGTTCTAGACTTCAAACATTATGGTCCAAAAAAGGAGAGGAATATATACTTTTATCATTAAATAAATATAATATTTTATTTTAGCTTTAAAACCAATGTGTTTTATGCTGCACTTGATTTGATTATTATGCAGTTTGATGATAAATCTATAAAAAATATTAATCAAGCATCATTTTTTTATACCAAAGAGATTGGCAAAAAAGTCAATCGATAAAGATGATATCGAGGATATCTGTAAATTTTACCATTTAAATTCAAAATAAATTTTTGAAGTTTCGAAATATTTATAAGATGGCTAAAACAGGTGATGTAATTATTACACGTGACCTAGATTAAAGAGTTTAAAGATTTGTCAAATTCTGGGAATTTTAAATTAATTTAATTAATATATTTTTACTCTTTATTTAGCTTCTTCTTCTGATGATGATGATGATAATTCTGACACTTATTATTCAGACTGGGAAAATTAATCGTCTATTTTACCTTATCGTCTACTTTAAAATTTTTCTGCTTTCCCTAATTTAAAAAGTTTATATAAATATTTATTAACCATTCCTACTTCCTTATGTACTGCCGAATGGGTCATGAGTAAAATTAAATTAATCAAAACAAGAATTCGTAGTGCCATGAAAGATCCATTTCTTAATAATTTAACTATTTTATCAATGGGAAAAAATTTATTTAGACAATTATATTGGTGAAATTATTAATTCTTTCGCTTTCTCTTCCCCTAATTTGTCTAGATCATTAATTTAAAATAAATATTTTTAAAGTATATATATTTTTTACATTTTATTTATATTATATATTAAAGATTGATGCAATAAAAATTATTTTTGAAATTTATGGGTGTCAAAAAATAATTAACCATTTTTGGAAGGAGAGAGAGGGTAATTTTCAGGGGAGTATATAGGCCACTGTTTATTGTATAAACTAGAGGAAATTTTTTAAATTTGATAAAAAGTTGTTAGATCAAATATAGCAGGAAGTTAATATATTAAAAGTAATTATGTTAAATATCTTCCTAAAAAATAATCATTATAAAAAAATTATATGAGTAAAAAATTATCATATTTAAATTTATTTTATAAATTCGTTAAATTATGTTAGTTGGTAATTTTACACCTTTGAAAAACTCATTTGTTTTTTTTTAATATATTATGGCTACAAAATTAAAAAAGGAACATATTGAAAAATTAATAAAAATAATAAAACGGTGGAATTCAGATCGATTAGATCTATTCGAAATATCATTGCCAAATGAGGTAAATAAGCTTTTTATTTTTTTTATAACCTGAAAACGGCACTGATCTGACTATAAAAAATTAGTCCAAATAACTTATATCTATAAAAGTAATAACCTTAAGCTACCATAAAAATATAACATAGAAGGAGTTACCTTAAACATATTAGTTTGTAATTTTTAGTCAATTAATGCTATAGTATAAATTTTAACAATATTTATTTCATAATAGGTTAAAAAAGAATACTTACTTTTATTGTTTCAATTTTTAGTAATCTTAATGCTATTTATTTTTAATTTAACTAATTTATATTAGTAATATTTTTTTTTCAAATCTCATTCACTTATTTATATATTTCTATGCATCTAACTGTTTTATATTACTTCTGCACCTTAGTTTTAATCTTTTGATGAAATGTTCAGAGAACAACAGGTCTGTTGCATCAAAATAGATTAAAGTTATTAAAAGTTTAAAAAATTAAATATACACTTAAACAGAGGATAGATAATTTACCCAAAATTTATTATGATAATTACCAAAATGAAAATTGTTCTTTAAAGACAGCAATTCTTAGAGAGTTAAATACCATACACAAATATGGCTGATTAATGCTATAATATTTTTTTAAATAGTATTTATAGATTTTTCATTAATTTTTTGTAATAGAATATAAAAAAAAGAAAAGAAAAATGTCAAAATAGTTTTTAGAAATTTTGAGTTAAGATTTTTCTTAAAAAAATAAAACCTTTCTTCAACCAGCATACAATAGATATTTAAAAATTAAAAAAATATCAATATATTATATAGGTCCATTCATTGTTTAACTTCAATCCGAAAGGTAAATATTTATAAACACTTGTTTGATTTATCTACAAACAAAATTAAAGATGGTAAAACATAATATTAATAACTACTAGAAAAAACATCACTCGCAATTATACTTATGGAGGGTCAACCAAAACTGGTTAAGACTTCTTCACAGTCTAATTTTTTTTAAAAAAAAACTGATTGGCTACATTCAGTTTGAGCATAGAAATTAAATCGAATCTAATTATTATATCTGCCAAAATCCAAAGATTTTTTTTGGATTGTTGATATAGACGGGTCTGAATTGAAACAGTTGGCATTCACTAGTTTTGCTTTATAATAATCTTGTATTATGATCTTTCTCAATGGACAAGGGAAAAAATATGCTCTATTTATTTTTAAGGATCAGGGATAAGTTAATTATTTTATATATCTTATAATATAACCTTAGCATTTCAAATTTCTATCATGTCTTAACAATTTTTTTAAAATGATTGGCATTGGCAAGCTCAATTTCTTTTTTTTAAAAAAATATCACTTATTAAATTTACTGAAATAATCAATAATAAAATAAGGAAGAATTCAACCTCTGCTTGCTGAAGTTAATTTAAAATTAAACTTTTTTTAAAGTAGAAAATCTTTTAGCATATTTTACCATGTTGTTGGCCCCTGACCTATAATGCCATTGCCATCCAAAATGGGAAAAACTTACTGGAAGGTGCATCCCTACAAAGCAGATTTACGTTTTATAAGTCAAACAATATTAAGACAGTCTCATCTTAATCAGAGCTTCATTAACTGTTCAAAATCAAAAACCTTATTCTCTGAAGATAAAAAAAAACAAATTTTTAAATCTTCTTTTTTGTAAAAAAAAAAAAACTTTTGCACTTTTATGCACAAAAAATCTTTAATTTTGTTGGCCAAAGATTTTTGCTCAAAACTTTGCGCGAAAAAAATCAATAAAGGATTTGACGATTTTTGTTCTCTTCTTAACACACGATTACTTACGATAAGTAATTTGGACGTTTTAATTAAAATTATAAAAACCAGGGTAACTTTTTAGATAGATAACAGTATTTTTTAAAAAGAATATATACTTTACTCCTCTGATAAAATAAGAGGCCAATGTCGATTTTAATTTTTAATCTTCTTTTATAGTTAAAAAGTATGTCAAACTCGATATATTTCTTATTTATTTTTTTTATTCATCGATTATGTAAGATTTAAATTTTAATCAATTATTTATAATTACCTTTCGAAATAGACTTTGAAATTCAGCATCATTTAAAATATGTTAGATAATTATAGAATCATCTAACAATTAACGATATAATCCCCCGCTCTTCATTGCGGTTATTTTCCCAATTTCTCACGATTATTATAAATTTAAAAGATAGTTTTTATAAAGAATATTTTGTATATTTTTATATTAAAGGTTACAAGTCAATTTGTTGTATTCTTTTCTTACTTAATATTATTTATATGATATAATTGCCTATTGAGAATAGATATTTTATATTTATTTATGTAAAAAAGGCATCCATTTCAAATACTTTAAAAAAAAATGCGTGATAGCCATACTTTTCATATCAAATTTATCATAACCACCACCTACTGGTTTATACGTTTTTCCACTAATATTTTATAACATATATTTTTACTTTTTTAATTTAAATAAGAAACATATGCATATTTTTTTAAATTGCAATAAAATAAATAATATTGATAATGGTGTAATTATGATTTTTTTTAAAAAAAAGAAAGAATGAAGCTAATTGGAAATTAATTGAGCAAGCTAAGTAATCTATTAGGGATTTTTTTAAAAGTTTTGTTAGGCAACTAGTGATGTTAAAGCTCGACTTGAGCCGATTCTTAAAAACGGCTAACTCAATATTTTATCCAGAAAAATTTAACGCAAGTCTGAAGATTTTTAGCTAAATCTCGAAACTTAGGCAAGATTTTCCTGTTTTTAAAAATCGCAAATTTAACCTTTTAACAACACTATTTGCAGTACTACATTCTTAACACTATTTTTTATAAAATATAATTGCAAATGTGCGCCGAATTTCACTGAGTCGCTGACATAAATATCCCAAAGACCAGGACAAAAAGATACCGGTATAAAAAATATCCACGGGAAAAATTTTGTCTGTTGGTATTTTTGCCATTGTCATTTTATCCGGGTTTTTTATCCAGGATATTTATGTCAGTAACTCACACAAAATGGCCCTCTTAGAAAGTTTCTAGGGTGGCAGGTTTGTCTCCATTATCAGGAAACTTCCGGAACGGTTATTTGTTTCATTATTCATAAAAGTCATTCAAAAATTTTGATATCGAATCTGAAATAACAAAATATTACCTTTTATAAAAAAGAAGCCTCTACAATAAAATATATTTTATATTTAGAAATGCATAACTAATATAATCTAAATTTTTTTCTATCATTGTTTATTATTTTAAAGGACGTCCTATTACTTTTGTAATTTTAAGATTTTCTAACATAGTAATGCAAATGGCTACTTTTTGTAAATAACGCTGCAGAAAAACTATATAATTTTTTTGAATATCAGTGAATTGAAAAATGAATCGATAAATATACCGCATGTCTAAAGGAGTAAAAAAATCTGCTAGAAAAACACTAATAAATTAAATCTAAGCGCAAAAAAATTCCTAACACAAAAAAAAATTTTTCCATCCTTTTCTTTCTTTTCAAAACGCAAAGACAAGAACAATCACAAAAAAAGAAATTTATGATTAATTATTGTGTAAAACATTTAAAATAAATTTATATTCAATTTTATAATAAATGGTCCTTATTTTCTTTTTTATAGGTTGTTTTACAATTTGAAGCTTATCACAACATAATCTATAATAACTCAACTTGGAATGTTCAACTGAAGGAAATTTTTTAATTGAATGAGATATATTTAAAATTAAACAAAAATCTGAAGAGGATTAAAGGTTAGAGAGAATATATGTTTGGTGTTATTCAAAGGGTTGAGAGATATGGGGTAGGGTTTATATTGGTTTTTAAATAAAATTTAATTCTTTTTTTTTATTAACTTGTCAAACTTGACAGGTCATGTGATTATAACTATCTTTTATAAAGGTAATTTCCTTGAGTTGACCAGAATTACATGTATGGCATATTAATTAAAGTTGGTTATGTTATTTATAAAATTGCAAATATAAACATCTCGACACAATTAAAAAACTAACCCTGCGAACATTCGTGGGGTTCATGCGGACCCTAGAGATGTTAATGTTTTAATAATGAAAAACTTTTAATTGTTATCAATTTTTTCCCAATAGCTTATCTCTTCATATCAAAGGAAAAAAAATGACAAGAATGTATGGGCGGGGTTCCCTCTAATCCAAATTTAGGTGCGTTATATCTTTTATAATTAAATTTACTTGTAGCTTTCATATTTCGAATAATATATATTTAAAAAAACTCTAGTTTAGTGACTTTAACTATTTTATGAAAGCTTTTGCCATGAGAATCAAAAAAGTGACAAATTATTTTAAAATGTCACAAAATAATATTAAAGAATATATGAATAAAATTTAGAATTTAGAATGTTTATCTAAGGTTTAAATATTAATATAATATAATTTAAATCAAATGATATATAAAAAAATGTTTATTTATGTTTAATATATTAATGCTAAAGAAAATAAAATTAAATACAGATGGCCAGGTAGGGTCTAAGCAGACTCCTAGCACAAAAAAAAGTTGTAACTCATAGACTACTAAACAAAATCAATTAATTTTACACATATATACTTTACCTAAAAATATTAAACTAAACCTGACAAAAATATGAATGAATTTTTAGTAATAACTTTTTTTAAATGACCGGGATTGCATGGTCCTACCTGTGTTATGAAGGGTTAATAGTTTTGCTTGATATAATGTTTAAAATTTTGTTTATTTATATTAAATAGCTGTAAAAATATATATATATACACCCGATTATAAAATTAGATACTTTTTAAAATAGTTTTTAAAAATGAAAAAATGATTTTGAAATATAGTTTAAAAAAATTTCCGCAAGATACATGTTCTGTACGAATAATTTCAAATATTACGAATATTTTTAAATTACTAATTCGATTGAATATTGTATAAAACATTATATGACCAATAATTTTCCTATTCGAATTAAATAATTTTGTTATTCGTAGAATAGGAATCTAATCAAATCCAAAGT